ACTGGTTTCTTATAATCTTATTGTAATGTCTTTGTGATGAAATTGCATAAGGCCTTGAATGTCCTTCCAAAAAACTCCCAAATAACCTCCTTCAGCCTCTTGATCTGTCCTGTGTTCCCCAGGACTGACCTAAGTCGACAGCATGACAGTGGGGTTCCAGTTCTAAACATCCCCCACTACACTATCACGATAAACAAAGGAAGACGTCGCACCATCCACACAAGATGGAGCAGCTCTCGTGGTGCCTGCCACCTGCCCAGGGAAGCAGGAGCACTTGACGGTTTGTGACCGTTCTTCTATCTTGTTCTTATTACAGCATCTGTGGAGTGCCACCACCTCACAAGTTCCCGTTTTAACATGGTGAGCTGCACAAACAAAAACAAAAGATAAGACAACATTGAAAAAGCTTTGGACATCCCCCCACCTCCCTTTTTTAATTAGTAGTACATTAAATATAGCTCTATAAGGGATCCACCGTGCATGAAACTAGAAATACAATGACGCTAACTCCATAATGCAGATTTGATTTCTTTTCTAAATGTGGTAGGACCATCTCTCTCAGTAAAAGCTTTGTGAAGCAGGAACAATCAGTGACTAGATTAGAATGAGCTGCTAAAACAGTCTGAAATATAGAGGCAATATACAATGCCATCAAAACCATATTTATTTGCATATGACTTTTTTTCACACTGTTTTGTTCAACATGTTAATCAAAATATGGTAAAATCCTCCAGCTAAGGTGCCCTGCAGTGGGACCCAGAATAGTTCCAGTCTCAAAGCAGTGGGGGTTGATAAAAATTATATTCTTTTTCTGGGAGAAGAGTGTGAGAGGCAGGCAGGGAATCTTTCTTAAAAAAGGAGAAGGCAGAGAGTGGGTGCCCACCTCCTCAGTATTCCTCTACTCAATCTTCCTGAAAATCAACTAATTGGGTGACTCTCGAAATTGCTGCCATTCTCCCAGCCAGCCACAAGACCCAGAATCATCCCTCTCAATTTTGCCTGAGGTGACAATTGCCACCAAGTGGCACTGAACCCCAGCCAGACTTTGATGGATTTATATCTGGCAACCAGATGCTTGGAAACCCAGTAAAATAAACTATGAGGGTCCCATGCCCACTTCATTAACTTTACAATAAGGTCACTGAGCTTTTGGGTGATTGGAATTTTTGAACCTCACTTATCATATCATGGAAGGGTTCTTCTTCAAAGTGTTGACTCTACTATGAAATGACAGAACAAAACTGTCATCCACCAAACATACAAGCTACTTAAAATCTACATTTGTTAAAAGATAATGGTTTCCAGAAATTTAAAAAATATGATTAATATAAAAACAGAAATTTAAATAGAAAACTAGGAGATTTGAAGTTGTTTAATGTTATGAACATATTAAGACTCATTGTAAATAAGGTCAGCATATCACACACTGGTATTAAATTTCCCCTTGGGGATAAGAGGATTCATTCTGCAGTCACCTAGGTTAGATAGATATTTAGATTCTTCTTGAAAGCAAGAGCAAATCACACACATTTTCCCCTCCTCTCATGCCTCCATGTGAGACCAAGAAACTCAGGTGTGGCATACAGCTTTACTACATAATCCTCAAAAGAAGTTTCAAGAGGCAGACACTATTTCCAATGTGACAATGAGTACTTTTCTTCCATTACAGATACAAGTGGGTATGCAGTCTGTGTTTGTTTCAAACTCAAGTTTTATCTCTATGAAAACTCAAAAATTAAAAGAGCCAAACTTCTGCTCCTGTCTTCCTGCACTCTGGAAAATGTTTTATCAGCTAAGAATAATTCAGTTTATTTTAAGTTACTGAATGCTTTATCTTATACAAGTCAATATACTGCTTTCTACACTGTACTCTACTTAGTCAGTCACTTAATGGAGTAAATACCATGCACTGGGTTTGCAACAATGAGGAAGAGGAACACAGTCCTGGCCCTGAAAGAGGTTATATTCCTGTAGGGAAAACAAGCAATAAACACCTAAATTAATGATTACATAAGACAATTTTAGACTTCTAAACTCCTTGACGGACATACAACAGAATAACATAACAGAGTAATTAAGCAGGGAGAGAATGTATATTTTAGCAAGAAGTCTCGGAGAAGACCTCTCTGAGGAGGTAACCTGAATGACAATCCAAAATGATGACAAGGAAGCTATAAGAAAGGAAGAAAATTCCAAGCAGAAGGAGCAGCAAATTAGAAGGCCCTGCACTGGAGAAAAGTGTGATGTGTTCCCAGGACAGAAAGACGGCCAGTGTGGCTGGAATGTAGTTGAACAA